CCCATAGCCACCTGCAGCTCCTGTGTTATGCCCCAACTCCATCTTGCTGGGGGCTTTCAACACTCCCCCTTTAAGACAGGAAGCTCAGCTGAAAGAGTTCAGTAATAACTGCAACCCCCCGCTCCCCCTTGTAAGGCCTCCCCTCACCAGGTGTTGGCTCTTGTCAAATTCAGCTTGCATTAAGGAGCCTCCTCCTCTACTGAAAGTCCCTCATAGAAGGTTCCCCCCTCTGCTTCTAGGGGTTGAGAGACTTTGAGGTGTGAGCCCGCTCTCACCCCAGCGGATCAATGAAGGACCCTTGCTCAATTTGGACTCAGTGTGCTGGCGTTTCTCTATTCCACTTGCTTTGGTTATAACACTGCTAGGCAGGGCCTTCTGGGGCTTCTGCGAACTAAGGTGTACTCTGCACGCGTCTACTACAGCTAAGGTTCTCTCTGTGTTTTTTGGACTCTAATAAATAGTGAGCTCCACATGGGGCATGCTGTTCTCACGTGCAGGGAGCCTTGGCCCCAACCTCACCCACTAGGCTGGAGATGAGTCCACCCTGGGAACACAGATTGGGGTGCTTTATTTTTTTGTTGACACCGAGTCTAACTGTCACATTTGGTAGAGGGCTGTGACATCATAGCTCACAGCAATTTCAAACTCTTGGGCTTAAGAAATCCTCTGCTTCCTGAGTAGCTGAGACTACAGGTGCCCACTACAACCCCTGGCTAGTTTTTCTGTATTTATTAGAAACAGGTCTCGCTCTTGCTCAGGCTGGTCTCAAACTCCTGAGCTCAGGCGATCCACCCTCCTTGGCCTCCCAGAGTGCTGGGATCAAGAAGTGAGCCACTGTGCCCGGCTGGGATTGAGGTTCTTGTACATGGAATTTCCTCTGCTCCTTCTCTCCTCTGGTGGAAGACTAGGGAGAGAGAGGGCTAAATGTTGATTATGGGCCAGGCTTTCTCAAAGGCTCAACAATCCTGCGTTGGGTTGGTGATTTATTTGCTCTTTGTCCACCCCTGCTGAATTCAGATCACACCACACTTATTTTCTCTTAACCCTAACGGGCCCTTTTGACCTTCCTTTCCTTCTGGTCCAGCAAACTCCATCTCTCCTTCCCCTTTCTCTTTATTGACAGCTGGACCTTCTTCCTTCCCTTTTCTGAGTTCAGTCTGGCGTTTCCGTCTCCCACCAGGGGCTCAAGACCCAAATGACAGGGCCATGCTCCACCCCAGAGCACTTTGTAACAACTTGGTTTTTTTATCTCACCATGAAAACAGCCTTATCTGGTCCACATGCCCTACTCTCTTGAAGTCCTCTGTGCTTCTTTCAAACACCGCCACAGCGGGCCGTGTCCAGGGAAGCCTCCTTCTTTGCCAACCCTCTCTCACGGCTATTGTCACCAGTCTACGGGGCTATGATTGCCCTAACAGTTCAAAGAAGGAGGGTGGTTATAGGACTCATCTTTTCAGCTTTATTCCCTGCTATGAAAAAGCCGTCCCACTGGCGTCCAACAGCCGCGTCATCCATGTGGCTGAGCTTTCTCTCGGAGCTGTTGACAACTTTTTGTTACGCCCAATAAATCTGTCAAGGGCTGCATGAGCTGGGGTCTTGCTGTCAGCAGGGAAGATAATTATCCTCCCCCCCAGAGAGCGTCCATGCCTTCATCACTTGCTGGTTCCCGGGAATTCTAGGGGCTTGCATCCCAGTCTGGTTTGGCAAAAACAGCCAGCACTTAGCAACTTTCTCCCTGCACAAAGTGCCAGCAAAGGATTCCACCTAATTTTTACATTTATCCTCCTTTCTTGATTCCATGGAGTTTAAAATAAAAATTAAACAAAACAAACTTACCTGCCAAACCAGACCTGCCAAACCATGGCCCCTTGAGCAGCCCTAACGGCGGCGACGGGGACTTTTCCGATCACGGTGAGTCACACAGCAGAACAGCAGTCCCGACCCTCCGGTGTTTTGGGAGGGCCCTGTCCCCATGTGGTGGTCCCCAGGCATCTAGCAGACCGGCAGCACCGCCCACAGGGCTGCGCAGGCCCAGGACCGGCCCTGCGAGGGTCTGGCCGGTGTCCGCGCTTCGGTTCCCTGGCTCCCGGCTCCCCTTTGACTCCCATGGAAGGACCACAGGCGTTTAAACCGGCCCCCGGTGCAGGGGAGCGGAGAAACCTACAGTGAAGCAGACAGGCCCAGTCTGCAGGCACAGGACGATTCATCAGGGGATCTGAGGATGGAAGCACGATCTTAGGCAGGTGGAGACCCCAGGCCCGTGCCCCGCAGCCCGGACCCCGCGCTCGCTCGCACAGGGAGATGTAACCGCTCTGGAGGGAAGGAAGGTGGAGGTGGCAGAGAACGCTGCTGTCACCGGGCACCCCCACTGAGGATTGTGTGAGCAGGTTTTTCTACATAAAGAGTAGTCCTTCACCCTGGCAGACACTTTGGAGGCATTTCTGGGACTGGAGACAGTCGGGCGGATTAGCATTTAAAATAAAGTCGCTCTTGTCCCTCCTACGGCTTCAAGAGCAGCTGGTCCCACTCCCAAGTTAAAGGGAGCTTTGAGGTATAGTGACTGAACACTCTCCTCCTAACTCAGCAAACCTGCTAGGAATCTCTGTATTTAAAAGGCAAAATTTATCAATGTAAAGGAATGAGGAAAAAAATTTTTTTAAGCCAGGAAGGTGTGGACTTTTGCTCGTAGGTGGGGGCTGCTTCTCGGGTGGGCCGTGTTCCAGGGTGAGGGGTGGTGCCAGGTGGCCCAGACTTATTTTGAAAAGGCCCTTCCTGGGAGACGCGAGGATGGAGCGGCCCACACAGTAGGTGCAGGTGCAGCGCTGAGCGCTGAGGCTGCGGCTCAGTCATTCACCTGCCTTCCTTTACCTGAGGTTTACCTACCACCCAGCAAGGCCTCGAGGGCCTATCAGAACTGTTAAGTTTTGCATTACAAGCGTTCAAATGTTTGGGAGGGAACACGCAGTCAAAGCCTGGTCCGTGTTGGGCAATCAGGGACACTGCGAGGATGAGGACAGGAGGACCGAGGTAGAGGGACCCAGGTGAGCCGTGAGCACGTGGGGGTGAAGGAGGAGGCTCAGGAAGGAAAGAGAGGCTCAAATACACACAGTTATCTGTCTTCAGATTTGCTCAAAGTTGGTCCTTTCTGGTATGTCCTTGGAGGTATGGTTTATTTCAAAATATAGTTTCTCTCTCTCTTTTTAAAATTTGACACAGGGTCTTGCTCTGTCTGCCGGTCCAGAGTGCAGTGGCATTAATTATCATAGCTCACTGCAACCTGAAACCCTTGGGCTCAAGTGATGCCCCTGCCTCAGCCTCTGGAGTATCTGGGACTACAGGCCTAAGCCTCCATATCCAGCTAATTTTTCTATATTTTGCAGAGACAGGGTCTTGCTCTTACTGAGCCTGCTTGGTCTTGAACTCTTGGCCTCAAGCCATCCTCCTGCCTTGTCCTCCTAAAGTGCTAGGATGACAGGCATGAGCCACTGCACCTGGCCTAAAATACAGTTTGTTGATGAAGATTTCAAAAAGGTTTTTATTTAAACCTGTAAATTTGAAATGAATATCTGTTCTTATAGTGAATATTTGCTATGAAGTAAATGAAAGAAATATCATTTTTTTTCTTTTTTATTTAATACAGCAAGGAAGTGCAGTATGGTGATTTTATCTCTCCCTTTCCCAGGCAACCACCCCCAGAGTCCTCTTGTCTCTGAGTTATTCTTGTTTCTTTCTTTGTAGCAGCAGCAGCATTTTTCACACATGTTCTCGGGAGGGACAGGTGCAAATCACTGACCTGTGTGCAAATCCAAAGTTCCTCTGTGAAAACAGGAGGCGAATTTTACGGAGTGTCCCAGCAAGTAACCCACGAATGCAATCTATGAGATTCGCTTCTCACATTGCACATGAGAATACAAGGTTCCCAGAGGTCAGTGAACTCATGACTGTACAGTTCCAGAATTACCAGAACGTCCATGTAACTTCTTAATCAGGCCTTTACACTACAACCACATTAAGGGGAAGTCTATCATTTTAGCCAAAATCTATATGACAATGGCAGAAATTGTGATATTCATACTTAATCTAATTTGCAATCTAAGTTAATCTAATTTGTAATCTAAGTTAACATTAAAGTCAATTAGATATTAAAGTTAAAAAAATACATTGGATAATTCAGTTTGTATCTTTAAAGTATTATCTACAACAAACTCCCCATAACTTTTTTCGCTTTGAGCTTTATAATATTTTTACAAATTCACTTTGTAAAGGTACCTTGCTCTGTAGGTTTCCTGATAAGTATTTAAAAAGCATGTCAGGGGCCAGGCATAGTGGCTCACACCTGTAATCCCAGCACTCTGGGAGGCTGGGGCAGGTGGATTGCTTGAGTTGGGGAATGGGAGACCAGCATGAGTTAAAGTGAGACCTAATCTCTATTAAATAGAAAAACTAGCCAGACATTGTGGGGAGCACCTGTAGTCCCAGCTACAGGGGAGGCTGAGGCAGGAGAATCACTTGAATCCAGGAGTTTGAGGTTGTAAGCTATGATGACACCACCACATTCTACCCAGGGTGACAGAGTGAGAGTCTGTCTAAAAAAAAAAAAAGGGCATGTCATCAGTTCTTCATTTGCTTTATAATTATCTCATTTTATTTAAATGCTTTTTAATTGAGACAAGGAAGTTGATTTTTCTGGCATCTCAATATGGACAGGAATTACTGGAACCACCCATTTAAAGATTTTATTTGCATAAATATCTTGTGACCATAAAAAGTTGAGGACAAGAATAACATAGTTACTGGACTATTTTTTATTCATAAATAGCCTATAATTCAGCATCTTCACTGCTGACAAGGAGAATGATTTCTAGCCAGTGGTGTTTAGGATATGTAATCTTCAAATTTTTCAAATAGTTTTAGTTTGGAAAGAGAAAATACATCTTTTTCTTGCCTTCTCTGAGGGATTGTTCTCTTTTGCTTCCTTGAGTTTGGGCTTCTTTTTCCTCTCAGCGCTCCTCAGATGAGCTTCCTCTTAGGAGTTTTCTTCTGGGCAAAAATCTATGAGGAGGAAGGTGACGGGGCGGCCAGAAAAATGGCCGGAACTGAAAACGGTGGTTGCACTTTCGAGGAAAGAAAGGTCTGTTTGGAAACCTAAGGTAGACTCTGGGTTCTTGTGGAAAAAAATGGAAGGGACACTTGGGTGTCCTTGTGAGGGGCTGGACGCTTGTTACTGGGTTCCTCGTGATGGGCGGAGGCGTGAGTGTAAAGATCTGGCAGTCTGTAGGGTCCGCGTTATGTTGTGGGCCTCCGGGAGGGGCAGGGGGGAGCACCTCTTGTCCTGTGGGGAGGAAGATGCAAGTCAGCAGGCAGGCCTGGTACCAGAAGCAGACAGGAGACAGATGCTCCCCTAAATGGTGGACACAGTTATTTACCTACTGGTGTCAGGGGAGAAAAATGGAAAGACAGAATGAGAGAAGCCTCAAAGCATGTTTGAAGGAATTGCTGAAGTTCGAGTAAATGAAACACAGACATACTCTCCAGGCCAGCATTTCCAGTTGGGTGAAAATACCCAAGAGAAATGAATGTTTATGTCAACAGGGAATTCAAGGATGCTCACGGCAGTCTTATTCTTAATGGCATAAACTTGGAAACAACCCATGTGTCCATCAGTAGGTGACTGGATAAACAAACTGTATAAACTCGTATCATGAAATACCCAGCAGTGAAAAGAAAGAGCTATTAATAACCACCACAGCACGGATGAACCCACAGGTATTATGCTGAGAAAAGGAGTGAGAGGCAAAGAGTACCTACTATAAAATTCCAATCGTGTCAAGTTCAAGAACGAAACTAAACTGTGGTTAAAAATAGTCAAAATAATCAACTTAGGGTTAGAGTAGGTGTTATTTGGTGGAGAGAGGAACCAGGGAATGCTTTGGAAATGTTCTATATCTTGATCTAGATGGTGGCTGCATGGATATGGTTGTACAGATATCTGTATGTCTCTCTGTACACACACAAATATGTCACAGACATACATTTATATATGAACACCATATATACATATGTTTATATACCCACATATGTGTATATGTAAAATGTGATCAAACTGTACCTTTGAGATTTGTGGTTTTATTGTGTGTAAATTATACCTAAATAAAGAAAATTCAGTGAAACAATAAGTTAATATTAAGAAAAAGATAAAAATAACTTATTTTCCAAAGGCCATTAATTCAAAAGTTCTGCTTCCACGGCCCAAGCAGTGAAATAATTTCCCAGAGGGGAAGGATGGGGAGTCTACCTGCCCAGGGGGAAAGAGTGCTGAGGATGCAATTTTTGTTTTGAGAAGAAATTTGGATCAAGATCAAGTGTCCAGGTCTTCCCTTGGCTGTATCACCCAATTAAATTGGCTTAGCAAACTTTCCTTTAGAAATTGTTCCCGGCCTCGCTTAGAGGCTTACTAATACAGGCCTAGAAAGGGCTGCCAAGAATGATTGATGGAAAAATGAACTTTCCACAGGAAATTTAGAGTACAGACACACTTAAAAAGAACTTGATTCCCCTCTCCTTTAGGACAGTTGAATTCAGGGTTCTTGGCTGTTGGATGTGCATCTTACCTGCCTGTGTCCATAGGGCCTTCTGGATACTCTATTTCCCCCACAAACCCTACACACCTTCTGGCTGTGGCTGATTGGATGGCTGACAGGCAGACACTCAAAGCTTTCATTGGCTGGTCAATGGCCAATCAGATTCTCCTTTGGGAATTATAACTAAGCGGTAGAGTCAGGGGAAGGTGTTAGTCGAAAGTGTGGGGCAGGGGTGGGAGTGTCAAGTTTGGTTAGTTCATTGTTGACACAGCAGACAAGTGAAACCAACCGCACAGAGAAGTAGTAAAATAAGGAAGGAGAGCAAGAGAGTGAAGACCACAGGGAAACAGTGTTGATGGAGTAGCCTCTGTTCTTGACTTTCCAGGGCTTTTTGAGAGCTCCCTGTACTGAAGATTCTTGGAAAGAGCTTTATAACAGTCGCACATGTTCACACCTCCAGCTCTACTTTTTTTTTTTTTTTTGAGACAGAGTCTCACTCAGTCATCCTGGGGAGAGTGTCATGGTGCAATAGCACAGCAACCTCAAACTCTTCGGCTTAAATGATTCTCTTGTCTCAGCCTCCCTAGTAGCTGGGACTATAGGCACTGGCCACAATGTCTGGCTATTTTTAGAGACGAAGTCTCACTCTGGCTCAAGCTAGTCTCAAACTCCAGAGCTCAAGCAATCCACCTGTCTTGGCCTCATAGAGTGCTGGGATTATAGGCGTGAGCCGCCGTACCTGGCCCTGCTCTCCTCTTTTTTAAAGTTTGCATGAATGGATTTTGTTCCCTGAGTGAAATACTAACCCTTCCTCCCACCACGCTCGCCCAGGCTACTGAGTATTGAAATCCTACGACTGAAATGAGGTTAAGACGCTTTGAACTACAGAAGATGATTTAATCCCACATTACTCACTTTTTTTCCTGAAAAGTTCTGAATCTTTGTAAGAAGAAAAGTTTCTAGGGAAGGAGGCGACCTCATTCTTAAGCCCCATCTTGACCTTTTCCTGTCAGATCAGCCTTGAGCCCCACTCAGGGAAC